TCAGTCCCCCCCCCCCCCTCACACACACACACACTGCAGTGTCTCATCTGTGTGATTCCACCAAGCACTGCTTTTAAGGGCCCAAAGAGATGACACTGGCTCAGAGGAAGGATCTATATAGAAATGTCGCCTCAGACTGCGGGAACTTGCGATATGTTTCGGTTTTTATTGTGATCACACTTTATGAGACATAGTTCATGTCGCAGAAAACATTCCAACTGAAGTCTTTGGTGATGGACATAGTCTTCTAATAAACTCTTATTACAGAAGAGCTGCTTGTGCTATCTCATGCGTGACTGTTGAAGAAGGTGAACACAAAAATGAAAACAACTTATGCCTTTGAACTGTGTTCCAGTAAAATATTTGTTTTGTTTCAATTATACATCTCAAGAATAGTAGCTCAGTTTTCTGAGCATGTTTATTTGGTCCATGTGTCTTATTGTGTCGTCTAGGGGCGGGACGCGCGACCGAGTTCCCTGCCGCCCTATGTCTCTCCCCCCTCTGCAAGTGTTGGTCTGGAGGGGTCGCAGCGCCACGTGCCACCTGGAGAGAACTTGGTGGAGAGCGAGCAGCATGCTCCCGCAGGACGCAAAGACAAGGACAAGCGCTCCAGCATGCTTAGCAGCTTGTTCCGCAAGAAACGCGCCACACATCTCTAGTAAAGTTAAAGTAGCATTCCAGACAGTGTACTGTAAATAGCCACTGCCATCCAAGTCTGTATTATACGTAGTAAGGAGCCTCATGGGTGAATGTATAATAGAGTCGTTAATTGCATTGGGAGATGAGCAGCTATTATATATGATGTTTCTTTAAGTACAATAAAGATAGCGTTTGCTCAGAATTTTACTTTCTTACAGTGCCTGTTCGTCTGCTTTGATTTGAATCAAAGCGCTGTTCCCGTTACTTTAACCTTTGTGGTTCTCACCAGTCAATTCCAGTGTCCCTGTGTACAGCAACGTTGGGTGTGGCGGTGTAACGGCTCGGCTCATCCGTCATTTTGCAGACGTCTGACGGAGAAAAGGTGGTTAGATGTGGTCACATTGAACAAGTAGGTTCCGTATTGCTACTGTTCGTACTGCATACTCAGTTATATATGATTTTCTTTGAGAGTGAGAAGTGAGAAAGCAAGTTAATTGATAAGTAATAGAAATGGTTTCATGGACAGACAGAATGTTTAAAAAAACATGGGCTTCGTTGGGAAACAATAAGGTATCTTGGTGGCGATTTATCCTATATTTTGACACTTGGAGTCCGATGTGTTTTTTAAAATGTTATCCATCACAAAATAAATCTTTGAATGATAAGGGCTTGCTGTGTGTGTGCACCAAACTACGAAGGAGTGTGAACGAATATAAAAACAGCATTTTCCGTGGTTTGAGCGGTCGGCCTCGCGCTCCGAACTGCTGGATTGGTGTGTGCGTGGTCCTGGAACCAGTCTGAAGACTAGAACAATACCCGCATGCTACAAGGAATAAACTCTGGTAGCCCGTCTGATTGGTAATTACCTTATTGAGATCACCCGGATCTTTATTAAAGCAGCAGACTAGTAAGTATTCTGTGCCAGATACATTTCTTCAGACTGTAGTCTACTGATGTCACTAAAATCTAAGTTGGTAGATTTGGACCAGTTTGCTCTAACAACGATGCAACTACTAAATCCTGAGTAGAAGGCTCTTCGCCTCAAAGAACGTCGTGTTCACTGTTCTGTAAAGTAATAACGTTGCTTTGAATTCAGCATTGCTGTGATGATGAGGTGAATGTATACCAGTCGGATGTTATCAGCAAAATGTAGAGTTAATGAAGGAATAGAATCAGCAGGTGCCTGATAAGATCGGAGGAATGTTGTGCTATCAGGTGACTCATACTATTGTTCCACTATCAGCCCTGATAAGTCCATGTAGATGTTCTGATAAGTCCTTCCGCTGCAAGAAATGCTTCCAGTCTTGCAACATGTCGAGTAGCAGAATATTCAATGTGAGTAATTTCAGTGTGTGTATGACAGGGATTTTGAAGGAAGTTTTCAGTGGCAGAAAGCAGGGCCTCCCAAAGGAATTTTAACTTTTTTTTTTCTTTTAAGATAAGCTGTTTTGTAACACGTTGTCTTTGGAGAATCAAGTACTGTGTGTTGGAAGAGATTTGTACAGATTGCATGGTCTATTTGGAAGTATATATTACTTGGAGGGAGTGAGAGAAAAACCTTGGATTCTGCACGCAACTTATATCTGGCTCACCAGTTGAGTTTTTAATCGGAAAACCCCCGTGCCACCCCACTGCAGTTTTATCTTCTTGCAGAATGACTCTGAGCTGGAGATATTCTCGCTGGTTACAGGCTGCTTCTCTGTGCTGGCAGTGGTGATCCTTGCCATTGTGGTGATACAGCTGAACAGCAGAATTCAGAAGTGAGTGCATTAAGTTAGCAGTTGTGTGCAAGTAATTCCTTTCAGTGCAGTCCCTGAGAAGCTAATAGTTACTCAACTGCATAATAAATTACATGTTATTTTTTTGAAATTCATAGTTTGTGTGCCAGTGCATGTCACGTACAGAATAACCTTTATATCTTAATTGCGTCATGTTTGTGAAATTCATAATTTGTGTGCCAGTGCATGTCACGAGGCAGATGGAGTAGCCTGAAACATGTCACGTACAGAATAACCTTTGCAGGTAGTACACTGTAGTCAAATGATCAGTTACTGGTAATTCTGATTTCAGACTGAAGAGGCAAGTGGCTCTCCATACACGCGTGGATCTCCACTCATTCCACAATCCAACGATCCAGCCCGATGAGGAACTCGCAAAGCGAGGCTTCTCCATGTACAAAGGGCAAGAGGACAGAGGGTGAGCCAATGTTGATTAAGTGACACATAGACAACGGCAGTAAATTTGTTACATATTAAGGTATTATTTGAAGCCCTTGTTGACAGACCACCAACTGCAACTTCAGGCTTCTCAACCAAAATTATGTATGAATTTGTCATCTACATATCCCACCCATCTCATTGTATTTGATTGTATCGTCCTAATAATATCCGGTGATGCTGTTGTGGTGCTGCTTTTCTATGAAGTCTGTGCTCATTTCAGAATTTGTACATGCAAAATCTTTATTAAAAGTACATTAATTCCTAAGGTGATTTTGGTGGGCAGACCTCAGATGTCTGACCATGAATGGGATAAATCACATGGTGAAATGTTCTTTGAATCAGGCAGTCACCAGTTCGTGTCTCAAGTGTCACATAAAATACATTTTCCTTTTATTTTTTTGGAACATGAATTGGTTCATGACTGCAGTTTTCTTTTACCTGGTGTCCGCACACGAAGCGCTAAAACCGAAACCTAATCTCTGATATCGGTACAAAGAGAACGGGTTGGGTCGTGTCCTCAACACGTCTGAATTCTGTGTTCCTCAGTCTAGCAGTCTGTCATGTCCCAAAGCAGTTTTGCTGTTTCGAATATTCTGATCTAAGATCTCCCATTTGCGCCATTCTCGTATGTCAAAGAAGTTTGAGACTTTTGTTTTGGTGTGAATTTATGCTGAATACATAGCGCCATTCTCGTATGTCAAAAAAGTTTGAGACTTATTTTTGGTGTGAATTTATGCTGAATACATTGTTTTGTTGCCAGCAGGGCTCCCGGCATGCCAGAGAAAGACGAATACTTCGGGAATTTTAGCGCCCAGCCCCGGCACGCCAGCCATCGTTATTGAAACGACCGAGTATGTGAACATTTATATAACATTTGTTTTGTATAAGTAAGACTTGCAGACATGGCCAGTTACAGAGTAGCCAGACAAGTGAACCATGCTGTATGGATATTAGCGAGGATAAAGAAATGAGAAGCAGCGAGTGTCTTGCTCACGCCACCCATCATCCCGAGTCCTCAAGCCAAATCTCACCGTGGATTTCATAACTCTTCCCGTCATCTGCTCGGCTTGTGTGAATGTAACCACGCACTTGTACATGAAGGATGTACAAATTACAATTTTGAACTTGTTCAACAAATTTTCAAATACAAATGGGGTCATTAGAAGGAAGACATGGACAGAGCATATAAAGTAAAAAAGAAATGCATACAAAATTTTGGTCTGAAAACCTGTTTGAGAGACCTAGGCGAGGATGAAAGTCAGATATTAAATTTCATTTTACAGAAAGAGTCGTGGACTGGATTCACCTGCTTCGGGACACCGGGACAATTGTCCGGCTGTGTGAAAATGGTGATGTGTCATAAGTGGTGAATATCTTGACAGGCTAAGTGACTGTTGGCGCTTCATGAAGGAATTAATTACTTAACTTGATATTAATGGTTTATGATTAGCCTCATACATATGTATAGATATAATGCCACCTGATGTGTAGCTAGTTTCAGAAACTTTTGCATTCAGCTGAATGTCTTCCTTTTATAAGGTATTATTATTACAAAACAGCAAAATCTATTTGACTGGATGAAGCTGTACTGTGGGGATATAAAACACGACATTTCATACCAGTTCTGAGGGACAAGATGGAGAAATGGAGTAAGAAATACTGCAGAAACAAAGATCATGTTATAACTCAAAATTTATTATCACTAAAACAAAAGCCTGCTATTGAGCATCTTCAACCAAATCCACATTAAATGTTTCTTTTAAGATTCTGTCCCAGTCTTGCAGTCAGTTGCTTTCCTTGCGACATCCTTCCAGAATTCTGCATATGTTGCACGTTTCTCTGACGCCTGTTATTGCTATGAAAGATCACTTTGGTCCCTGTCGAGGTATGTTGGGGTCCTCGTGAACTAGAGGTTTCTGGGTTTGAAGGAAGTTGAGGAGGGTGCTCGGCATGTCGCCGCACCGGCCGATGGCCTTGCAGTTACGCTCATTCATCGCCTTCAAGACGTCTTCACGGCTTCTGCTGTCAACTGGCTGTGATGCTGCGGTGACTCCCTCTGTGAACACGTTGGATCAGGAGCGTTAGGTTGGGTGGTGTCGCGCAGCGTACCGAATAGTGGCAGTGCAACTAACTTCACCTGTCATGATGGATGGTGAACCAGGAATTCTGTGTCTCTCTTCCCTCGCCTCGCGATGCCTCAGCAAGTCTCGCCAGGTGTTGGCGGACTTCCCAAACAAGCTGATGCTGCGCCACCTGCTGCTTGGGGAACTCTCCTTTGTTGTCATGTCTCTGTACACACAAGCGATGAATTAATTCTGCTGATCGTCGTTAAACTGAGCAGCGATGCTGTCATCTCGAAACCGCTGCCTTTCAACAGGCTGACTGTGCCAACTTTTGGGGTTGGGGAAAAACCCTATTACCATTCAATACATGGTCCTGTTTGATACTATTTCCCCAAGAGATTGTGATTCATTGCTGACAAGAAAACTATGCATAGCTGCCATGTTGTTGCTTATTACTGTCAGTGTTACCTGATGTTTGGAGCTGGCTGGCTCAGACACTCTAAGACGTGGGGTGAAGAGTTCATCATCTCGGTGTGACTTGTCTGCCTGCAGGAAAACAAATTCAAGATGTCCATCAGAAATGTGTATTTTCCAGAGGTACTCTGAAAATCCTTCATCTGTTTATACATGAGATATTTTAGTGATGGTCCACTAGCGCAAAAGTGCCCGTTATTTCAGTTATAAGTGTGCCATCTTGTCTCATGTCACGTGATGTTGTTGCAGGGCACATATTCACGGTGTGTTGATTGGAAAAAGATTTCAGGTTAAAGAGTTTTACGACTTGTGATGTTAGACCATTATGAATGATTGTAGAGGGTTCTAAGGTGTGTTACAATCTGGATTACTGACCTTTCGGACTCGTCCATCGTCTTGATATTCTAAAAATACGCGTTTCGAGAACCCCATCTTTCATCGTCCTCGGTTATAGGGTTCGCTGATTTAGGTTCGATCTTTCTAATGGACACAGTTCAGCAGTGCCCCCCTTCCCTGCACCTGAAGACGATCACAGACCCAGTTCTCGAAATCAGGACTCTGAACAAAGTCCAAGAACTCTGTAACCTAGAAGGCCGCACACTGCTAATACTAGAGTCTGCCGTGGGGGTGGTGTTGAGCCACTTCAGTCAGATGCGCATTACCAAACCGTTCTTCCTTCGAATCCATTTTGTTATTACGGTGCCCGCCCGCCTCGGTTTTCATGCGGCCACTTTGCGAGAAGACTCCGCCTACGTTTCACACCAGGATGATTAAAGTGTGAGGGTGAGATGGACAGGGTATATGTAGCATGTGTGAGGACATAAGTGGAAGGATATTGTTAAAATAGTCTTGAAGATGTGTGATGACGGTCAGTACCTGGCGCTGCGTGGGGATGGCTCTGACAGCAAGTCTAGGAAGTCTGGAGTTGTATCCATCAGCACACTGCCGCTCTCCCAGAGCCATGCTGCGGTTTCCTGTCTCTGGAAGCAAGGTACCAGAAGAATTGAATGAGGCTGTGTTCAACAGAACAGCCGTGATGAGCAAAGGAAACTGTGCATGAAAACGGAAGTGTTGATTATAAAGCACTTCTTAGGAAGGAACATCTTCTACGTTGCAACACTGCATAAATGTTCACCAATATTTCTTTCCTGAAGATGGAGCCATTATGTTCTTTGAGGACAGCATAGCTCAGAAGACTACAATTTGTTAGTACACTTACATCTGCCGCTGGCCGAGTTTCCAGTGAATCCATCTCGGCTGCCTGCCCGTGCTCCTCTTCGGAGTCGCTCTCCAGAATAAGAGAGATTCCTGTAGGCAGCAGCAACCTCCTGTTGGCCTGTGAAGGTCCCTTGCTGCGAAAACTGTGGCACCCCTGAGTACATAATTAAGGGTTTTCAGTGAACATCAAAGGTCAATGACCCAGTAATTGTTAACACTACCACTCACCATTTCATAACTGTCTTCTCAATGTAATTTACAAACCTGATGCTGCATGTTGACCTCAGAGAGATCTTGATTTGCTTTGGAAGTAAGATTTCTCAATACTGCTTCTGATTCTGAAGAGACTCTCCATAGGTTATAACTCTGTTCTAGCGCTGCCACACACTTATAGCAGATGCTTTTTGGGAAGTCATCTTCTTGTGATACCTTAAATGTATACGTAATTAGTGTTGCAAAAGTAACAATTGATAATAGCTCTGTTCAGTTCCATTACAATTTCTTACCTTTATGGAGAGGCATGTCCGGATTTTTAGATAAATTTGCTTCTCTTCTGCAACTTCACCAAATATTGGTATTTGAAATTTCTCATTACATAAACACAAACGACATTTATTAGAATACAAATATGCTTCATCAATCATTTTACCAAGGAATGTTCTTATGTACGCTTTAAAATAAATATTTGATTCAATACGTGACGTATTTTAAAGTAGCGCCATTTCAAAGTGAGCAGCACGAAACAGTTGATAACAGCTTGTTCCCAAAGAGGAAAAGTCAACGATAAGAGGAATAATGGTAATTATTAATTTAGCAATCCCTGGAGTAACGCGGGCGGTAATTTATTACACACGCATATAGCTGTTGGCAGTATCAAGCTAGTCCAAGTGGGAGCTTCACAAAACTTGATTCTTCTGAACATTAAGTGCGCCTATTAAAATAATTTGCGTTCAGGTAACAAAACAATTAAAACAGTGAAGGTTCGTGTTGTAATTCGTAACCTTTAAGGCACTTATATTAATGAAAGTTCATGTCTATGATGTTGGTGGTTCTCATACGATCTTGCCAATTCAAGCCGGTAAACATTGACATATTTGCGGAGTGAGGGGTGTTGGTGATACAAGTTGCTGGGGGATTCTGATTTGAAAAAAGTAAAGTTTGCTTCGTAGGGCCGCATGTTGGCTACGTTTCAAATGTGGATCGATTACCATGAAGTGATTGGCAGTTTATTTACAGCTGGGTCTTCCCACCACATCCTCATCCTCTCGGATAACTGATCTGCATGTGGCGGAAGAATACCACTGTCAGGTGAGCCCTGATTATCTTTCACAGTTGCTAGCGCTGTAATGTTTCCAGTACTGCTCCGAGAGCAGCAACTTTTCAGCGTGATGTTTTGCCTTTCGTTATTTTCCAAGCTCACTGCTGCGTTAAATAGGCAGCAGTTCTAGGAAGTTGAAAACAAAAGTTGCAGACGCAGTCATAAATCTAATATGCTCGACTCGTTCGTGCTGAATTAGCTACAGAAGCCTTATGCTAAATTTATCAATACACAGAAGCAAGTTTTAGCGCAGGGAAATGTATGTGCACGCACGATTCATACTTTTCATAATATTATGCAGCTGTAATTGTACTGATGAGCCTGGATAGCTGTCAGTATAGTGACTAGCTACGGGCTGGACGGCCGGGGATCGATCCTCGACGGGGGCAGAGGATTTCTCCTCTAGCCGCTGCGTCCAGACTGGCTCTGGGGTGCACCCATCCTCCTGTACAATGGGTATCAGGGTCTCTTCATGGGGACAACGCAGCCCGGGCGTGATGCTGGTCACTCATCTCCCTCTAGTGCCGTGGTTAAGAATGAGTACCACCCCAAGCGGGTAGCAGTATCGCTTTACTTTTTAATATTGTCAGCAAAGGCCTCTTATTATTCTATTAGATTAAAATAGCAGTAGACATTATCTTGGGCGTAGTAAAGTTAGGTTATTGTGTAAGTCAGACAATTATACATGTTCTTAGCTAAATGGTAGCTTTTTATAGGCGAATCTCAGATTTGTGGGTTCTGAAACACAACGTAACCGCGTGACAACGACGCAAAAGAACTTGGGGATAAAGAATAGAATAAAATAGAATTTATTTGCATTTCACGGATCCTTAATAGGCCCCAATGCTTGTTTCTAATACAAATGTACAGTCAACTACATTATCAAAGCACGTAACATGGCCGCTACTTCGTGATAATTTTTGGTTGTGGTAAATTCTTCTGCGGAGTAGAAGGAGTGAGACGGGAAATGGTGTTTTAGTGAAGGCTTAAACGTCGTGGGGGGGGGGAAGATTATTGAATAGTTTCCCCCCCAACATATAAAAAAGTTGCTTTTTTAATTAGTTTTAAAGCGATCAACGCGAGTGTTCGACTCGCCGTTGTGTTGCAAGCCCCAACTGGACCTTTCGGCGAGGGGAGGACACGCTGATTCCTTCGGAGCAGGGCGCGCTCGCTCTAGAGCGCAAAGTCTGATGCGGGCGATCGCTTTTAAAGGGCCTTCCGGTCGCAGGCCACAGGTTGCCGACCGTGTGTTTGTGTTCGGGCTCACGCTGAACGTGCCGCGGATTATCAACT